ACACACGTGCGATTATTCATGATAATAACACACGTGCGATTATTCATGATAATAACACATGTGCGATTATTCATGATAATAACACACGTGCGATTATTCATGATAATAACACATGCGCGATTATTCATGTAATAACACATGCGCGATTATTCATGATAATAAAACATGTGCGATTATTCATGATAATAAACACATGTGCGATTATTCATGATAATAACACATGTGCGATTATTCATGATAATAACACATGTGCGATTATTCATGATAATAACACACGTGCGATTATTCATGATAATAACACATGCGCGATTATTCATGATAATAACACATGTGCGATTATTCATGATAATAACACATGTGCGATTATTCATGATAATAACACATGTGCGATTATTCATGATAATAACACATGTGCGATTATTCATGATAATAACACATGTGCGATTATTCATGATAATAACACATGTGCGATTATTCATGATAATAACACATGTGCGATTATTCATGATAATAACACATGTGCGATTATTCATGATAATTACACATGTGCGATTATTCATGATAATAACACACGTGCGATTATTCATGATAATAACACATGTGCGATTATTCATGATAATAACACATGTGCGATTATTCATGATAATAAAACATGTGCGATTATTCATGATAATTAACATGTGCGATTATTCATGATAATAACACAGTGCGATTATTCATGATAATAACACACGTGCGATTATTCATGATAATAACACATGTGCGATTATTCATGATAATAACACATGTGCGATTATTCATGATAATAACACATGTGCGATTATTCATGATAATAAAACATGTGCGATTATTCATGATAATAAAACATGTGCGATTATTCATGATAATAACACACGTGCGATTATTCATGATAATAACACACGTGCGATTATTCATGATAATAACACATGTGCGATTATTCATGATAATACACATGTGCGATTATTCATGATAATAACACATGTGCGATTATTCATGATAATAACACATGTGCGATTATTCATGATAATAACACATGTGCGATTATTCATGATAATAACACATGTGCGATTATTAATGATAATAACACATGTGCGATTATTCATGATAATAACACACGTGCGATTATTCATGATAATAACACATGTGCGATTATTCATGATAATAACACATGTGCGATTATTCATGATAATAACACATGTGCGATTATTCATGATAATAACACATGTGCGATTATTCATGATAATAACACATGTGCGATTATTCATGATAATAACACATGTACGATTATTCATGATAATAACACATGTGCGATTATTCATGATAATAACACATGTGCGATTATCATGATAATAACACATGTGCGATTATTCATGATAATAACACATGTGCGATTATTCATGATAATAACACACGTGCGATTATCATGATAATAACACACGTGCGATTATTCATGATAATAACACATGTGCGATTATTCATGATAATAACACACGTGCGATTATTCATGATAATAACACATGTGCGATTATTCATGATAATAACACACGTGCGATTATTCATGATAATAACACATGTGCGATTATTCATGATAATTACACACGTGCGATTATTCATGATAATAACACATGTGCGATTATTCATGATAATAACACACGTGCGATTATCGTGTTTGATCCGCCAATGTAGAATCAAGAAGAGGGATAAAAAACTTCAAAAAAACAGTTTTTATCGAGTCATTCTCAACACTCGAAATAATGAGTTATTCTCAACACTCGAAATAAATTCCATATTTCCGCGCGTCATGTATTATTCTCTATGTAATGCAGCTGACTATATATGATTAAAATTCAAATTCGCGAAGTCACTCAAATTTTAGCAATACGTGCATTTCAATAGTTTTGGGGTCAGTTCTTGGAACACCCTGCATGTAGTCTAGCTTATAATAGCATTCTATTCTTAATTAAAACGCTTTTGTCCCACTGTTTTATCCTTTCATAAACTATAGCACGATATTAACCTGCAGTGTTTCAAATCGCGTGGCATAAATTTTTTTGAAAGATCACCTGCAACCAACATTCTTATTAACGTATATATAATTAACGCCTTTGTATAATGTCCTATAAATATATTCGGGAAAATTCTATATTGCAGGTGGTATATAAAGTTAGGTATAATTGGACGAAATACATGTAGCTCATTCGTTTGAAGTCCGACTACCGCGAGATATATGTTGATGAGGTTTTCTTTAAAAGCAACTATATATTACAGGTAAGGATCATACGATTTTATATAGCCTACAAAGCTGAGGATTTTATAGTCAAATTATAGAGCTTTCGGTCCTTTACCTCGCACTCGTTCTTCAGTAGTATTAACTTAAATGGTTAAATCCAATTTAAACCGTCTCTTGATGCTTTTTCTTGTCCGATTAGGACTTGTTCTTCTTGGCTGAATGATACACAATGAGTTTCGCCAAATTAAACGCAAACAGCGCAGTTAAACGCAACCGTAATTTTTCGCTTGCAGTGTCCTGGTTAATAAATGCAGCAGTTGAAAATTACTATACAAATTTTGATTCTATAGATTCTTTTATCGACTTCGATACCGACGTCAACATGTCGTTGCCATCATTTTAACTAAAATAGCGTTGTTGCTACCAAATGTTTGGTCTTTTAAACCTATCGTGTATCAAATAGTCCGAAATCAGAATTATAGCCAAATCGGTTGCATGCACCTTTTAAAAAGATTTAACAACAAGAATTTTAAAAAATTTGCTAAATTTAAAAAATTGATTCAATTTGCTATATAGTTTCTTGACAAAGCCTGTTCAACCATTTAAATTTACAACTCATGCATGCAGCACCTTCGACATGTTCCTCTTCTCTGGCAAATTTTACTGAGATTGTTGTATTAATTAAGCATTTTATAAGTTGTGTTAATCCCCACGTGCAAAACTGATTCGCGAACAAGTCATTCAAACTTTAGCAATAGGTGATTTCAATAGTTTTGGGGTCAGTTCTTGGAACACCCTGTAGTCTAGCTTATATAATAACATTCTATTCTTAATTAAAAACGCTTTTGTCAGTAATTTTGTCACACTGTTTGTCATCATAAATCGCCCAGGTGAGGTTTTGGCCTATAACTTCATTCCAATGAAATTATGTGAGCATTTTGTATGATTAATCATTACATATTCATGCGATGAATATATCTGGTCAGACGTCATGCATATATTTCTATAAATCATAGCTATTTCTTGAGGACAGACTTTCCTAAATTCACAATGATCAAGAAAGATTTCTCGGTGTAATTTTTTAACGGCCACTTGTTTCACAAGCATCCCATATGTAAGAGGGGTATCCGAACAAATCAAACGAGTCTTACACACCGCTGGCGTACGTACGGCATATAAACCTATGCAAAATTTGGGTGATATATTTGGGAAACCTAAAGATAAACAATTAGATTCTGAAATAAAAGGCATTGTATATAAGTTTGAATGTCCAGATTGTCAATTCACTTATATCGGCGAGAGTAAAAGATCATGGAAATCGAGATGGGCTGAGCATAAACCTGGCGTACGACGAGAGATTAAGTCAGCGATTAAAGACCATGTAGAAAATACCGGTCATGCTTGAAGTGTCAATGGAGAATGCTAGGATTTTGGAAAAGAAAGTGCATAACGCAAACAAAAGACTCTTCCTTGAGTCATTGCACTCGGTTTTGGACAAAAGATCAGTGAATGAGCATAAATATTTTCCTCAAATTTACATACCAATTATTCAATCATGCAAGGATAGTGACACTATATAATAGTCTGTCTATACTGCTTGAACATTGCCGAAAATTTAGTACTTTTTAATCTAGAATCATTTTAATAAATTGTTTTAGACCAGATACAACTCCATGTAAACATATATATATATATAGCCGCAGATAGAAAGATAGATAGATACTCGAAGTGTAATTAGAATTGCATATGATTACATTTGCATGGGATATATATATATATTAATATATATATATATATATATATATATATATATATATATATATATACACCCATTTGCAAAAACGTTGGCCGCAGATAGATAGATAGATAGATACTCGAAGTCTAATTAGAATTGCATATGATTGCATTTGCATGGGATTTCAATCATATTACCCAACATATGCAATTCTAATTAGATTTCGAGTATCTATCTATCTATCTATCTGCCCAACGTTTTGCAAATGGGTGTATATATATATATTATATATATATATATATATATATAATATATATAATATATATAATATATATATATATATATATATATATATATATGTAAGGTGTGTTTGTTCTTCTACACAAGTATCACCAACCGGGCAATATACATATATAGCCAGATAGCTATGAATCCTTACAAGATTTTGTGGCGAATGCCTTCGGTCAACAAGGCAAGTGGCGGCGGTCAGGAGGCGTTTCAAAGTGTTTTGATGCTCATAGCACAGATCTATCTATGACATGGTATCCCGGTAAGTCAAATACCTTAACTTTCAAAGGAACAGTTGGAGAAACAGCAAAAGCCTGTTTGATCGACCTATTGACACCACCCAAAGATGTGCCGGAAAATGCTTTCAAAAGTATTGACCATCATGATAACAACTGTGAATATTTAGAAAGTATGATGTTGGAGGGCAGTGAAAATATTCTTACCATTGAACGAATGAAAACATTCATTATTAGTATACTATTACGTAAAATCTGTTCTTGTTTACACCTGTGTAAAAAATTTAGTTGCGCCAATGCTCATTACTCTTTGTGGGCAAATAATCCCCATTTTCTGGTGTTTTTGATAGTATTATATTGCTCTCCTTTTTTATTTTTAGCCATGTAAGAAATAACCTGTGGTGATCTAAACTTTTGTCACTGCCGTCATCTTATTTTAGACTATCTAGCGCATGCGCAGACAAATTTCCTCAATGTTCGTGAAACAGAGTAATAATGTAACATTGTCGTTTTGTAGTTGTGTTTAGTAAAATATGACCTGAGTTTGTGTGCTGGTTTATGTGCTGCGTCAATATTAAAAGGGCGAAGTAGCGGTTGCATGCGTGGCAGTCGCCAGCGCGAAGTAGTTGCATGTGTTGTATGTCTTATATAATAACCTGATTGGTTTCTAGTTTAACATTCAACGCTTCTGGTTAAACTCAAAAGTTTGAAACGTAAACAAACGTGATAAAAACTTCACGGTTAACGGTGGCTTGCAAATAGCTATACTATTGTATTAGTACATCTAATTTAATATTCGACGGAAATGGAAAATGGTGTTTTTCTGGTGTTTTTGATAGTATTATATTGCTCTCCTTTTTTATTTCTAGCCACGTAAGAAATAACCTGTGGTGATCTAAACTTTTGTCACTGCCGTCATCTTATTTTAGACTATCTAGCGCATGCGCAGACAAATTTCCTCAATGTTCGTGAAACAGAGTAATAATGTAGAAAATAGTATACAGCATGTCTTAAAAAGTATGTTAGCCACACGTTTTTTCACCACAAAGGTTGTCCGCATTTCAGGTTTTGATTTTCAAAGATGGCTGGTAATACGAAACGGGAAGTCGACAAGGCTATAGCGGGTATGAACAAAGGAAGCGACAAAAAAGAGGAGATTCGAATGATGATGGCACCTTACGCAAATTGGGACAGCTTCCTTTCCCCGGCTCCTTTGTCCATCGCTTTGCTCGGCCAGTTGATTCTCGTATCTTCCGACGCCGATTTCAGTCTTCAAAATGAAAAAGGAAACCTGAAATTCAAGTATCTCAAGTACCCCGACTCGTTCCGGGCCTGTCTAGTCCAAGTTAGCAATCGAGGATGGGATGCCTTCAACAGGGCGCACACCTCCATGGATCAAATCCGTCATTTCTCGAACAACGTCGACAAGCACGTCAAAACAGCGGTGAAATTTCTGGTCGCTGGCACGGCGGAAGATATCGAATTGATGGTCCCCGATGCACTTAAAAACATCGAACGAATCGCAGACGATTGTTTAGAGCTGTCCACGTCGGTCGAAAAAGAGTTCGTTGACGTGATGAAGTTGATAGCAGAACTGCTCGAAGCGTGTACGAAGAAAAAAGGGCAGCAGGAGAAGAGTTTGAGAGATGCTAAGATCGCTCGCTCGGTGGCCGAACAGCACATGAAGGCGATAGATGCTGAGAAAGAACAAGCTGAGAAACGACAAAAACAATTGGAAAAGCAAATGAAGGAAGCGGATGAAAAGTTCAAAAAAGCTATCAACTCTATGCCCGACGAATGGGATATGATTGGCCTGGCCTTCGTTGTTACCTTGATGAGTACGACTCGCGCATGCACCTCAATTCCCAGCATGATGATGATGGAAAGATTGCTCCGGCAAGCCCCCGATGCCAGCGAAGCGGTCGGACCTTCTCCAGTGGAGCGTCCAAAGAATCCTGAGAACGTGATGGAGATTCATAAAATCGTGCCTGACATTTACTGCGAAGTAGAAATTCTTGGAAATCTTGCATTGAACGGCATGAAAAGTGGCGACGCTGCGAAGATAACGGTAGGGCGCGCAAAAAAAAAACTCGAAAGGATTAAGGAAAATTACCTGGACAATGGGAAGAATTCGGAGATAAAAAGGAAAGCGATGAAACTATGCAAAGGAGCGATTGATCTTTGCCAAGCCTTGTCGTCTATAAAACCACGAATGGCCGGCTCCGAAGAAGAATTTCAAAAGATCAATGAAAAAGCGAAAATTCTTCGTGAAGAAGCTGACCCCTTACTAGCTGGATCGCATTTTTTTCTTGGTAGCAACGCACTTCAGAATACATCTCCAAATCTCGCCAAACAGCCAGCTCCTGACAGCGAAGGTGGCCAGGAGGCCATGGGTAGTTATCGCTTCAAGACGGAAACAGCAAAGGAAATGTTGAAGGATTCTCGTCGTGCATACGACAAATCCTGTGAGGAAGTCGCCCAGAAGGCAAGGGAAGTCAGTAATCTTCTCGCCGAAATAGAAGAACTCGATCTCAAGGAGATAGATATTGAAAAAATCAGAAAGACGTTGATAAAGGGAATCACAGCTCTTGGTGAACTGCGTGAACAGTGGGGCAAGCTGGTCGGGTTCTTCCAAATGCTGGCCAATATTGTCAAGTGTTGCCTTAACACGTCCCTCAAAAACTTCGTACAAACCTCCCGTAATCGTTTAACCCAAGGTAACAGCGGAATGTCGGCTGCCATGCGTGACGTCATCTTCGAGCAAGCCTTTCAAGCCAATCAAATCGCGTATGTGGTTCACAGCATCTCCAGCGTGTACGTGGAAGTATCCCATAAGCATTTGATGGAGCGCATCACCTGCCTGGGTAAGTTGATCCCGCTGGACCCAACCAGGGATGAACACGAGATCGATATCAAGCGAGAGGAGCTGAACCGAGGTTGTAAGGAAGCTCAGGAGGCCATTCGTAATATTGCTCTTGAGAAGAAGAGGGAAATGGATAAAGCATTTGACGACAGGATTGGAAGAATCGAGAGCGAAGTGGAAACATTGCTACCACCAATTTCGGAAGCGAAGGTCATGGAGATAAGAGGAAAGGTTCAGTCCATGATTGCAGATTTAAAAGCTGATATTGACGACGAGGTAAATGACTTGTCTTAAACAGTTATTAAAATGTTTCAATTTATTAAAATATTTCATAACCATAATAAACAGTGGATTTTAATTAAGTAGAAACACTATACTTTCCTATTAGTTTAGTACGTTGAACACAAGTTTAAACACTTCGCACATTAGTTTTAGTTAAAGCTTGTTGGATTGCATGTATTTGTGTTTGGAGTATTCAAAATGAAGCACTGAAAGGTATTGTTAAGGTATTCAAGTTTAAATACAAATATAAAAAGTTGTTGTTGCAGGTAATGAAAACATTTTTGTGTCGTTTTTTTGAGTAGCCATAGGGGGGTTGTTGCGGCTCAAATGCTGAGGGATTTCTCTGCACATGCTTACAGGTTGCCGAATAATTTCGACCCAGGAGGATGTCTCAATAAGCGAAGCATTCTTCAGGTAATTGGAACCAATGGCATACAAATTTAATAAATTGCACAAATACCGGCAAAGATTAATTGTTCGAATTCACGAAACATGTTTGGTTAGGGCTTCAGTGTATCCAACGGCAAAGTTGAGATTGAAGCAAAAGTAGCCGAGCACACAGACGTATTGAGATCAACTATGAGATGTTATTTACTATTTACAATGACATTGGCAACAAGCTAACGCGAATGTCTCACGTTCTCACTGTAGCACAAATTGCCTTTGCACAAAGTTCCCGCCCTTCAACCGACTCCAGATCGTACAGACCGAGTAAATAGTCCGCTGGTAGGGAGCCTGGGACATACGATAACACTTCGGCTATCTGTAAGATATAGGGGAAGAATAAAAATAAAAGTGTGGCCCAATGATTCTCCTTTGGGCGCGTAAATGCAGAATGTCCCGTCCTTCCGTTTCCGAAAACTATACTTCATTTTAGTTTCAAAGGAAGTGAAACGAAGGACGTGGAAAATTCACTTATGTGAAAAACCATAAGCGATACCAAAAGACCTGCACCACCCGAATATTACATGCGATGCGGAAATTTCCACGTATACAGCCACAAACAACTGAGGTAGGCCACTGCTTCGAAATCGCGGAGGCGTAGTTCGATTGCTGCCGGAGGGAAGTTGTATTCGTTGCAACGTCCCGGGTTTAATGGTATTTTTATGCTTCTCTCGCATTCTTAAACATCTACCTATACATATATTTCAATTTCTTCAAACGAAATACGAAACGAAAAGTACGAAACAACAAACATTAACTTACCAGATGTGGTTGCAGACATGTTAAAAGAGGCGATGAGAAGAGGCCTGTGCACGAGACTGCTTGCTCCATAAAAGACATCACGAACGCGGCCCGAGCCCCGATCTCTCTCCGATTTAACGAATGACAAAACTCCTCGAACAATGTTACTACAACACAGAAACACACTTTCATATTTATTGCAATCGTTTGCTGTCTGCACGTGAATGTTTGTTTTTAGGTGTTCCTGTTTTCTCGCTGGACGTGAATCGACCAGTCGAAACGTAGATACAATAAAGAAGTAGAATTCCATCCAGGAATTAAGCTATTACAACATACACCTGTAAAAATATTTCCATCACGTTTTCACATACCTATTCCTTGCTGTATGATCGACTTCGGGGTCCACAATTTGTCATTTTCGTCAAAACGTTGAAGCTTCAATGGTCTAAAAGCGCGGATAAAATGACAGCGATATGGAGCTTGTATTTGAAGATAACATGAAGTATAATCAGACTCACACAGTATATCCGCGAAATATATAATTCCAGATGTTGCATCATGACAATTGGAAAGTTAATAGAAGTTTTGTTTTTGTGATTTGAAATACTATATACAAACTATCTGTTCATCTGTGGGCGGCAAAATACATTACAGAAAAGCAGCTTAATTGAAAAAGCGGATACCTTTCATTATCCTCGTCGTCGTACTTCTTATGAGATGGATCTTCGCGGAGCAAACCGATCGCGGTCGCATGCGATAGAAGACGCGCTAGTCCCCAGCCCTAAATCAGCAGGAATTCGAATATCACCTTTAACTACAATGGAATCTTTCAATAATTACGTCTTCACTGTTTCCAACCCAGTTTCCAAATTTTACTCTCACGAGTTCAAACATGCAGAAAAACTTTTTTAATGCATCCATGAAGAAATTAGAGTCTGAAAGAATCCTTCAGTTTAACGATAAATGTGGGAATGAGCTTTAACACGAAATATTTCATGTATAGAAATTCTTTTCATATTGTAGTTGTTAGGAGATTTTATGGATTTGTTCAATTACTTAGTATGGAAGGTGGAAACACACAATTATCATGGATTAACCACCGATACTATTGATCTGTAAACACTGTAGATAAGGCTACGTACACACCGCACACGAACGTCGTTTTCGAGCGTTTTCAAAATCGTTTTTATATAATTTATCGCTTTGACACCTTGCCCACACGATCCAAGGAAAAGTATATGCTGAATATGTTAAATTAGTTCCAACTTCTATTGTAAATTGACGATGTTTGAAATCGAGCGTTTTCATTTTCGTTTTCATGCAAAAACAAACCGTTTCATGCCAAAACGGTTTCAAACATCGTCAATTTACAATAGAAGTTGGAGCCAATTCAACATATTCAGCACATGTGCACGTAGTCTAAGTTCCAGCCTACCACAGGGTCTACCAGGGTGAAGTCAGCCTTTGGCTGTTGTATAAGAGACTTCACCGAAGCAAGCAGTGACAGCGAGAGAGATGAAGGATCCAATAATACCAACATTGAACCAATGTCCGCTACAATGAGAAAAAAACGAACGCGACGAATGAAGGCTGAGTATAAATGTACATTTTCATGATCTCAACCGTTGCGAGTGAAGTATGCATGTACTCACCTGCTTTTCTCACATCTTCCTTTCGTGTTTGACTCAACAACTCCTTTATAAAATTTTGCAAATTCGATCAAATTTCAACTAGTCCATCTCAAGCAAGTCACCAAAATCGTATCACCTGAACTAAACTAGACTCGTATTCACCTTCAAGATTACATCTGCAAAGCCGCTCGGACCAGCAGAATTCATCATACTGCGAAATTTATTAACCGATTTCATGTTCACGGCGCCATTTTGAATGGAACTTGACAACAGTTTGCTCATTGTCTAGATAATGAAAAAAATAACGCGGTAAACTACGGCAGAATAGGGCTCCGAAAATCGGAAACGGGAGACGGAGGACTCAATCAAAAAGTTCCCTGCGAAAACATGCCCTGGGCCCGGTTGTATTAAAACTCTTGAACTACATTTTGCATAGTTAAATCCTAGTTAACTCAGAAACACACATGCTCGGATTGGCCAATTCTGTCCTTATAACTACAGCTAAAAGTTGACTAGTCTTTAATACAACTGGCCCCTGAAGTCCTAGTACTCTCTTTAATACAACTGGCCCCTGAAGTCCTAGTACTCGCAGCCATGTTTACCTTCGTGACGTCCTTCTCGTCTGTAAAAGCAAAGAAACAAACAAAGAGTTATTTCGACATTGTAGACTTAACCCTCTTTCGAAACGATGCAAAATATGGCGGCCATGGAAAATTTACGTACCAGTTTTCAGGGATGTATTGCGACGCACATCGATTTTCAATTTATCGATTAAGATTTCCAATAGAGGAAAACTAAAACAGTTTGGAATTAACAGCGTTTGAGTTTTTGGTATTTTGGACCCCAAAGTCCTGTTTAACATGTTAATCTATAACAAATCCTGATCTTAACACTGAGAAAACCATCACAAAAAAATAATATACTGATATGAAAGCGTGATATGGAAAGATTGTCCACGAGATGAGACCCTTGCTATACTTACGTGCGTGGTACGGTGCCGGTTATTGGGTTTATTAGCATGTCCAGAAGGCTAAAATGAAATGAACAAAATTGATGAAATTCTAGGGAACTATAGACACAATAAAGGCGCATGCAAGTCTTATGTAATGCGCATGAACAGCGCATGTATATTTGCCACTGTTGCACGTGATTACTGTTCCTACCTGAATGGTTTTTCCCTTTCCTCAGATGGTAAGCGGAGAATGTAACTACTGAGCCAGACAAGGACACAAACCGCGAGAGCTGGACAAGTCTGCACCATATCTTTACAAACTTTCTATAAGAAAACGTGATCCCACAAAATGTTACAACACTTGTTACAATAGAATCAGAAGTGAATTCAAACCAATTCAGTCACATGTTTTGTTCCTTTCATCATTAAATATATCGATCTCCGTTGCATTGATCCCTTTGATTCCTAACCTTAAAAGAGTCTGGCAATGGTGTAGCGCACGTGAGCAGTTCGTGAACAGCTTGGCAGACGTTCCAACAAGATCTTCCCCAGTGGGTCGTACTGGAATGAAAAACGATATAAAGCGAAGAGTCTTTTAAGAGTTTGATTGGAGAATCTTGGGAGAGATTAAGGGGGGAGGGGGAAGGGGGATTAATACCAAGGTTTTACAAGACTATATTAAAACCAACTTTACAAAACTATATTAAAACCAACAACCAAAGCTTAGCATGTAAGCAATTCCTTTACCTCAGTTTTGGCAGCTTTCCCCTCAGAAATTGTTCTAGAATATCATCCACGGTAGACTTATCAACACAAGGTGTAATCACGTTGGCAATAGGCTGATCCATGTTATTGGTTATACACAGTCCAACCCAACGAACGAAGAAGCCCCAGCCACTGTTGTCCGCTGAGCTTAGAACAGCCTGAAAAGGGGCGAGATTAAGGGTGTAGTTGTTGTTAGTTGTCACTGTTGTCCGCTGAGCTTAGAACAGCCTGAAAAGGGGCGAGATTAAGGGCGTTGTTCCAACACCGTTTTTGAAGCTGGTGAATCTTAAACTTTAAGTGTACTTAAGCATGTGAAATCAACCCCTAATTAAAATCGATGTGACTACTGGGGTATTTCGACGCCGTTTCGTAAGAATATGCATGACTTACCATTTTGCCGAAATTGACAACGATGTAGCATAAGATAACGAAAGAATGATGGAACAGCTCGCTTCTGTGATCAGCAAGTTTTTCTAAATTGAAAATGAACCACTTAGCCAAAAAAATTCAGATCAAATGAAACGTCTAAATGATATTTTGAGAGTAGTCTTATAAAGGAATCGGTTGTATATCAATTTTTGAAACTGTGAAGTTTTATGATGACAGTTTTTCGTAGCTAAATGCGAGGATAAAGTTGATATCATAATTATTTATATTCCTAATTATTTATTTTAAAATAGTTGATGCGACTAAGCAAAGATAAACAGAGTTCTCAGCGAAAATAAACGATTACTTATTGGTTGGCGGAAGGCAAAGAATTATGGCGAAAGAATTCTAGCGTATATACGCACCGTCCTCGATATCGGCTCGACACGATTCAGCTGTTTCGTTAAGTCTAAACAAACAATGCAAAACATAATACAGCTTTCTTGCTTTTCAATTCGCAAACAAAAATGATAATAAAAATGCAACAGAAATCACATGCAGTTGTTGCTTTGATACCGCTGTAATAAACGTTTATCGTTTCAACTTTACCGTTGTATTTCTCTTGACATACAAATACGAAGTCATTTAACACAGCGATTAGTGGGTTAAAAAGCACGGCTAGCGTCTTTCAATACGCGGCTATGACAAATATCATGCATTTTTACCTGAGTACTGCACCACTGAATTCCTTCAGTTTTCCTGTGTTTACAGCAGCCAGGGAAATCCAAAGGAGGTTCTCAGGTCTAACTAAAGTTTTGATCACATGAGCACTGTTCTTCGTCTGTTCCATACCAAGTATCTGCAAAATCTTGTTTAATTCGTTTTCTAAAGTGAGCGGAATAAAAATTCGTTCGATGTTACTCTGAATAAAACACAACAGAGCAATTTAAAGGAAAGCCCAGGAGCTTAATGAGATAAGAAATTAATGAAGAAGCTTCTTTTGAAGCACAGACAAACATCGACCAGAGTTCGACCTTCACAGCGAAATCACAAACATTGTAAAAAAAGAGAAGGCTTTAGTTAAGTAGTCAGGTACATACCGACAGCTATGAAGGTTTGTACTGGAGATCTTGTTTGGCCTTCTACAGCACTGATCTTTTCTGGTATTACCCTAGACAAATATATTGTGTTACCCTGGACAAACATAAATATGCGTATGCATTGTAGCTATCTCGTCTAAAATTTTATCAACATTTTACAATACCTTTTACTTCTCAAAGGCGCGTAGTACTGTTGTATTTGTGGTAGCGGCATTTTGGCGATATACTGCTGACAGACGGTGTCATACGTGTTCATTCTACAACGCAAATAAGATGCTTTTAATACCATAAGTCATTTCTACTACCTAGAGCCTAGCTTTGAGTGGACCTTTCTCATATAATGACGTCAAACGCGGGAAACCTGACGTTACACGAAGTTTGATTGGCTCTTTAGTTTTGCGGAGCCAATCAGTGTGACATCATGCAGGCTTTCCGCGTTTGAACAGGAAGTCTAAAGCAGGAAGTCTAAAGCAGTAAGTCTAAAGCAGGAAGTCTAAAGCAGGAAGTCTAAAGCAGGAAGTCTAAAGCAGTAAGTCTAAAGCAGGAAGTCTAAAGCAGGAAGTCTAAAGCAGGAAGTCTAAAGCAGGAAGTCTAAAGCAGGAAGTCTTAAGCAGGAAGTCTAAAGCAGGAAGTCTAAAGCAGGAAGTCTAAAGCAGGAAGTCTAAAGCAGGAAGTCTAAAGCAGGAAGTCTAAAGCAGGAAGTCTAAAGCAGGAAGTCTAAAGTTAGATTTAGCGCAATAAAATCAGGTGGTCCTAACTATTTTATTCACCTATAATTGTACTCCAACTTAATATAACATCCCCAAAGTTGACAAATGTGCAAATGTTATATTCTATGTCAGTCATTTATGATACTGTATATAAATGCTTTGATTCATTTAAACTAAATCCACGTTTAAAAACATCAAATATCACAGAGAACCAACCCTAATTTCATATCCACGCAATCCCACAGCTGGGTGAACTGAAGAAGCTGTTGCAAGACTGTCACTATGACGACAGGATCGACCCCAAAATTATGCTTCTTTTCCGTTTCCAAGATAAGATATGGAATCTATGTTGAAAAGGGTGAAGATTAACCCTGCTACACTAGCTAAATTATTTTAGCTATAAACTTAACTTATAGATATATGGCATATTCGACCTACGTTATGAAAATATAGTGAAACTCGAATATACCGGAATATTGTATACTCGACCATCGTAATAAAAAATTATTGAAGGTCGAATATACCGGAGTATGGTATACTTGACCTTGGTAAGAAAAAAATTATCATGGTGGAATACCGATACCGATGTAGTTGATATTATTATTAACTGGAGAACCATGCATAGTGCATTGCAAAAAAATCCTACCTTGTGGTAAAGGTAACTGTAGCAGAAGGCATCTTCCTGTGAGGTACTGGATTGAAGTAAATTCACGAGACACGTGCGAACAAGTTCGGTGTAGAACTGTGTCCGAGTCAAACACTAAAGAAAAATAATATCCCAATAAAGTTTAAAAGACAATCACGTAAACTAAGAGAGGTGCATGAATGCTGAATCGTACCAGTTGAATCGTGCAACTTTCGGTCTCTCAAAAAAAAAATTTCCAACATTCAAAGCACAACCTCTATCGAAATAACGCCTTCATCATTGGACAGTAAATTTATATCGACTGCAGTATTTACCAATGCGTGATGGACTCATTTTTTCCGAAACGCTATGCTTTGACTGCAGAATTTTATGCTTCAAAACACGGACTCGTATCTTCTTACCTGTGTTCTAAACACGAGATCCGCCAGACTACACATTTGGTCAAATTCATCGCCAGGGTAGAGAAAGGTCTAAAATAATGTGAACATATGGAAAATGGAAGATACTGTCTTTGGCTGGTACTGTGGTACCCGAATAGGCTGAGTGCTGTGGTTAAAGGTACTTTAAGGGTCTCACTATACGGAAGTGAGTCTAGTCATTCATCAATGAGTATGTTACGTCGTATTTTTTGAAGGTCCCATTTAACCTCGTGCAACATCTGACAGTCTGGTTAAAATAATTATTATTTCACGAGCTTTCGAGTCTATAAACGGGTAGACTGTAGACTGACGGTCGAAAGCTCGTGAAATAGTAAATATTTTAACCAAAAAACATCTATATTTTTCAATATGATTAACCCCGGTTACGCATCAAATATCTTCAAATCTGACAGTCTCTGACTAACATTGATGGACTTTTTAATTACATACCTGAGCATATGTCAAAATATGAACAGCCAGGTTTGGGACGATACCGGGAAGTCTTTCACCGCTGGGGGATAAGCTTTGAAGTCTATAAAGAAAAGAAATAGCATTCATAACAAACTGTTCATCAAAAATCAAGATGGTGAAGGAAATGTAATTTCCACTGCTAATGAATCGTATACTCATCATACCAGCAACAACCAAATAAGTAATTTAGCTTGTAGGTACACCACGTAAGTATTTAATACTGCAAAGCTTTCGGTCGATTAACCCGGGCCTTTATCAGTGCAATTACTTGAAAAAACATTTACACGTCACTTAAATATCACGTTCGTCGTGATTTGTTTGCTTGCGCCATCAATTAAACCATGGATAGTTAAAAGACCAATCAAAATGTTCCTAAGCACCCCACGTGACTATAGTTTCCCATCCAGTGATTTTATTATCGATGATTAAACGGTTTGCTAACCAAACAATTATGAAAATGAAATAGATGATGATGATCATGATTCTTATTTGATATAAGTACCGTGCAAACTTAGAGGAATATTATAACAATCAAATACCTTTTGATGTCATGAACTAAGACCTTGAGATGTTCCTGGACCTCGTTTGTTTCATCCGTGTTCACCAACACTTGCGCCTGTCTTGCTGAAAGGTTTTGCAGGCTGGACTGGAGAAGATGGTCCCAGGCCATACTTGCGTCTACATAAGATCGCTTGCGTTACAAGTGTTAGCTAAAACCACTTGTCATGGATAATAACCCCTCAAAAACAGGCTCAAAGACGGGCTCAGCAGGTTTTGCTTGCCTTCTTGTTAACGTGGTGACGATTTTAAACCACGATAATTTCAACAGTATTTTTTTATTATCATTCAATCTTTTTCAATAGGTTTATGCATTCAAAAAGGGAGATAACTGTAAAGATTAGAGGATATAGTAGACACAAAACGATAATTTTTGCTTGCTCCAAATAACTTACACTGATCTTGTCTCTTGCCAATAATCACGAGACTGCGGAGAACAGTATTTTCAATCAATTCTGTGATAATTGCTTTGCATTTCTTGACACTTGTAAAACACACGGAGATAGCTTGACAGTCATCTGGCGATATCACGGACTGAAATCAAAATATTTCGTCACATAAACCAGTTTGCGTCTATGCATGTTGGGGACCATATAATTTTACGTCTAGACTATAGTATGATATTCGAGGTAGTAGCATCAAGGATTTTCATACTTCGACAACGGATATGAGAAGTCTCACAATGCAATTTAGCGTCCAATACGAGATGTGAGACAACGCCACAGACAGGTCGACACAATCACCTTTATCACCATCGCAGCTAAGAGAGACAAAAATTCCGCATAAAGATCAGGGATATATTGGCGATATCCGACGCTAAGATACGAGACAAACTTTGCAATGTTTTTTTTCAATGTTTTTCTTTCAACCCTCGTGATTACAATTAAGTTGGCCAATAGCAGCAAATGACCACTCTAATTAGCCAAGCTACCACCGGTAGTCTCAGGCGAGATTCCGCTCAAAAGAGGCGAGATCTCGCTTAGCGGGATGAAAATATTTTCATACAAACGCTCCAAGCGGGCTGGCCCGGTTGCCGAGGTAGAACCAATTTTTATAATTTTTTATGTTTCTCAGCGTTTCTTTTTATACTTTTGAACACTATATGATAAAAAACGAACAAACGGTGGCAACGTGCTTTAGTAGATGCTGATGCTAATGTGCTATGAACTTAAAACGCAAAGCCAATAAAGGCGTTGTAAATAATCTCTATCCTGGCAAGCGGGATGAAATGCTCTCATATAAACATAGGACAAGTTTATTCCGTTTACCGGGCTGTCTCACTGCCCGAGCCAGCCCGGCTCCCATATAAACAGCCCCTTATAGTTTCAATCTTCCGTGATAACACTGAACCTTCATACTCGTGGCCTCACGTATACGTCTCGCAACGCTTCCAAACTGAACTCAGAGAATTGTCTGCGGTGAAATTATTTTGAACAATTATTACCTAATATTTGTAATGATGTCGGCGAGAAGCTCCAAAAGTGCAAGAAGGGTTCGACATCGCGATGGCTCTTGGACATCTTCAAACTGCCAATTTAATGAAAAAAAAAAACACTCAGAATGCATTTTTAAGCCTGGATAAGTGTCGTGAACATGTCAAGGTGGCCGATGTGATAGAATATGTCTATATGTGTGTGCAGTAAACAATGACCAACTCGAATGCAGAAATAAAGGCAAATTTAAAACTGGACTATTTCTCATCGTCGAAAATGACTTGTTCACGAAAATTACAATTAAATGGAAACCAGGCTTTAATCAGGAATGTCATCTCAGATAAAACGGAGTGAATTACAAGGCCTGCTTCAGACGTCGAACTTTTCATGTGTCGAACAGAATATTAAGGAGTTAAAGTCTTTGTTTAAGTTCATTTGCATTCGATTCGGCACATGAAAAGTTCTACGATAAAAACGGACCCAAGCTTGCCAATTTTAAACTGTCATGATAAACAACAGTTAATCATGAGCGAACTTATCTCACCTGTTCAATAGCTTTAAGCACAGACGAAAACGGAATTACCTGGCAAATACAAACGCTGAATTAAATAAATACCATCTTAGAGCCACTTTTTGGAAGTTGAAGATTCAAACAATATGTTAACAACCCCTGTGTCAATGCAGTTTTATATTTAAATAGCTATCCAGTGGCAACTGGGGTGCTTGATATCTTTAAAATACTGCATTTACTATTGTAATAACGCTTTTAACATTGAGAATTTCGTTTAACTTCTTTTATATATTTGATGGTTCCCAAAAGAACCGGTTTGGTTTATCTTTGCCCTCATTTGAAATTTTAATCATTTCACATTCGTGACTTCATCCAAGATTGGCAAGACAGCGTGTTACATATTCTCCCTTTTTTGTTTCTGTCACGTAAGTTCATTCAGATACTGCCGGGCAACTTGTCTTCTTTTACACCTCTCATTTGCTTTAGCAAGTGGACATGGGCAGATCGACTTGATCTGTTATGATCGGAGACTCTGAATTTTGGCTTAACAATTGTAATACCTTGTTTATCGCGGCGTATTTGATATAGGACAAAAGCAACGTATTTGGTGTACTTCCAAATGTCGCTTGTTCAATCAATGCAACTAGAAATATAAAGTAAACAGAGTTATACCTCTGAACCAAAAAGTTCCTGTAGTAAAAGTATAGAGATCAACAGACCACAATTTTTAATATCAACAACACATTTCTTATGTTCAGTATTAAAATCATTGCGCGTATTTAATACCTGGCAGCGTTTTTGTTAGCTCCCCATCTTCGACAAGAGTTCGTCTTAATTTTGAGGTCCATTGTAGCGGGGACCAGCGCTCTCTCCAAGCTTGTAGAATCAAAATGGAAGTATGCTGTGCAGAAGGCGAACGGTCCGCCATGTTGGAAACGAGCAGACAAAAGTGATCACAGCGGTAAACACGTGAAAAAACGTCAAGTAACGTCAAGTAATTTGGGTTAATTTGGGTGATTTGTTTATCATAATTTGCTTATCATAGCTTTGTCACATTGTTAAATTTTAAATATAGCATAGACGATTTGCTTGAAACGGGGTTAAACACCCTTAAAATTAATGGTTGGATGCGGCACAGCGGACCACCACTATTTTTAAGAAAAAAATTCTGGAGAAGATTCCTTCATTTCGTTAAAATGTCTTCCCTGTTTTTACATGTAGATAATGTAATAAAAAAATATATGAAAGTGTTCGCTTCTCTCCTCCTCTTTCTGAACGGTTCCCCAGCACTTTAATAATAGCATTGATTCCATTGAATGTAGCAATTATACGTCAGTTTTACAATCAAGGGAGGGCATTTTAATAAAAATCGAACAACATCGTTAAATTGATCTCAATCTATCACCTGCTAACAAAGTAAACAACTTTTGCCAATATTTCTATAATTGCAAACACAAGCTAAGCTACCGGCTGACACAAACGTTAATAATTTATAACTTTTATCGCGAACATAGCTTGCTAATTTGACGACAAATTGCCAGAAAATCAGTGGTTTTCAAGTCCATTGTCAGTCGGCGAGTAACTGCAGAAACGTCGTGAAAATATCTGAAGCTTGAAGCGAAGGTAAACATCCCAGATCTGGAATAACGGTTTTCAATGGTCGTGAAGAATACCGCGGGCCGACGACAAAACGATTTGTCAAATGAAATATTTCTTTATCTGAGGAGGCCTATAGTCTAGACTGAGTTTAGGATCAACTGAGCAGTTGTCCTCACAGTGGATATCACAGAAAACACAAAATTCTGGCTACGTAAATATATTTATTTAAAATGACAGCGAATTTGGAGGTAGACGACAGCGACATTTGCGAATTCAATGACAAGATCGCGTTTCAGGACGCGTTCAAAACAATCTTAGATTTCCGTAGAGAAGCGATATTCAGTGATGTGATCATCTGTTCAGATGACAGCAGGGAATTCAATTGTCACAGAGTAATTTTGGCGTCCGCATCTCCGTACTTCCGAGCGATGTTTTTGGCCGACATGAAAGAGAGCCAACAACCGCGCGTCCAAATTAAAGGACTGGACTCGAGCGCTCTGGAGCAAATCCTTGAGTTTTGCTATACAGCCACGGTTACGATAACCTCGGAAAACGTTCAGCGGTTGCTCATCGCAAGTGGGATGCTACAATTCCCGAAAATACAGGACTCTTGTATGGAGTACCTTTTGAATAATCTCCACGAGTCAAACTGCATTGGTATATGGAAAATGGCTGATGCAATACAACGGAACCAAAAAATAATCGAAAAACTGGAAACGTATATTAAAACAAACTTTTCTTTCGTTGCGAAACACGAAGAATTCTTGGATTTGAGTTCCGAGCAACTTTTAACTTTTTTAAGAAGTGAAAATTTGAATATTTCTTCGGAGAACGATCTCTGCACGGCGATAATTCGCTGGGTGAGATTCAATCCGGAAAAACGCGGCTCGCACTTGGAAGATCTGATGAAACATGTACGGTTCTCACAAATAACGCGCCGTCATCTGACAGATGTGGTTTTAAACGAGGAACTCATCCTTGACAACCTCTTTTGCCGCAAGTTGATTTTCGATGCGATTCGATACCATCTTGTTCCCGAGACTCGGAAAGGAACGTCGAGTGTCGTCGACGGCCGGCAACGAGAGAGAGTGACGAGGTTTATATATATACTTGGAGGGGAAGGTAAAGTCTTGCACGGCAACCTAGAAAATGTTGTTTTACAAATATTATTTCTGGTGAAGTAGGGGCACGTGTGGTAATATCTGTCGTTCTTAATTTCATGAAAAACACTTCTGCTTCTCAAAAATGTTGTTCTGCAACAATAGTTTTTCTAGGGTCTATCGTACCTGAAACATCTTTCTATAATAAACATCCAGTTAGCCCATCGTCAACGCGCTATTTATCTTCATATTTGTCATGTAGGATTTTCTTTTGCAGAATCTGGAAGCATTGTGAACAACGTGGAGTGCTATGATTGCAGTTTAGGAGAATGGCACGAGCTTGCTCCTATGATCATACCCAGAAAGTTTGTTGGCTCTGCGATACTTGACGACCAGCTGTATGCGGTTGGAGGTATCAACGATCAGTATGGTGACCTGGTGACGGTCGAATCGTGCAACCTTTTGACCAATCAGTGGTCGTCTTTGGCTTCGCTTCAAGAATGCAAAGGTAAGCCTTGCAATCTCCAAGTTTCTTTAATTTAACTTTATTATTTCACATGTTCATTCGATAACAGGTTCAAGTTCTGTCGCAGTTCTCGACGGCTGGCTGTATGCAGCGGGAGGCTCAGATAATGGTGTCGCCATTAAAACAGTAGAACGTTACGATCCGCATGCAAACACCTGGTTACCAGTCCCCAACATGAATTTACCGCGTAGTCACTTTTGCCTCCAGTCCCTCGGCGGAAAACTCTACGCGATTGGCGGCTACTGCGGCACGTGCGCTATACCGCATGTGGAATACTTTGACCCGCTTGCGAACACGTGGACAGAAATTGCGTCGATGAACAAGCCGCGTATGAACCACGGTTGTGCGAATTATGCTAATAAGATTTACGTAGTTGGTGGCGCAAATACCTTCGGAGTGTTAAATTCAGTCGAAGTTTTCGATCCGGCACAGAACCACTGGTGCTTCATTCGTAACCGCCTCAACCCGAGGAGCGGGCTATGCCTGGGGATAGTCAAGACAGGAAAGGATAAAGAAAGTTGCTTGTGGATACTCGGTGGTCATGATCACAAGAACAGAGATTTTAGTACCGTCCTGAAGTTGAGGGTCTCTGACTTGAGTTTTCAAGGCGAGATATCTTTGCCTAGAACCTGTGTGTTTGCAGGACACGCATCGGTGTGAGGGATTGTGGTGGAGAGCTGAAACCCAGGAACAGCTCATCGATGCGTGTATGCAGTAATAAAATTGTCAGTTCCTTTCCCAGAGATGAAAAAATACCGTTCTGGGTCGGCAACTTTTCACACACAAATTATTTCTTTCTATAATGGATTTATGGTATAAAAAAGATATTGCAAGACAATGCGCTTTCTCCCTATGGGTACAAGATTTTTACGAGCTCGAGCGACTGACCTAAACCCTAAAATAAACTTAAAATAAGTGGAAATGAAAGAACTACCATTTTTTCAAAAACTTAGTGAGCTAATATATATCCATAGGCTGTTTTCTGTGAACTAACATACCCATATCCATATATATATATATATATATATATATATAATTATATATATATATATATATATATATATATATATATATATACATTTTTTCAAAAAATCTCTTCAGCAAATCTTCTTAAAAATGTAACTTTCGGACATTTCGTTGTTCCAGCAAAAATTGCTAGAGTTTTAAGAATGAAGATTTAACGAGCTACTGTCAAAGAGTGGATAGTAAGGAAACCCAGAAGTGTCGGAAACAAAATCGCAGCTTTAATCAACTCCATTTACGCCAAAAATATATTTTTCTATAGGTACAATTCTTCCAAATGAAAGTGTTTTGGTAGAAAAAGTAGTTTAACAGCAAATCTTAAAAAAAACATGTTTCACTCTTGCTCTTCGTCCCCTTCTTTGTCTCCATCAGAGGAGACTTCGAGTAATTCGTGCATGGTCGCTTCGAGTTCATCCTTGCTGGTTTCAGTTTTCTTTTTTTCAAGTTCGATACTCCCTGAATTTTAGAAATGGATTATTAAACAGGAGCTACAGTAAGCAAGGGGTAGAGGAACTACATTGATCTACATTCATCAAATTATTGACTGGAGCTTGGTTGATAATTTATGATTTCATTCAGAACTAGTACAAGATGGCGTCAAACAAACACGCTACTAAGAATCTCTAAATTTATCGAGTAATACGCTGTCAAAAGCAGTTCGAACTATAAGATCTCGAAACATAACAATGATAAAATTGCATGCGTTGACTGACTGGAGTTTTTTATCAGGAGGTTACCATCGGTGACCTAACAAATTTTTTTTTAAATTTAATTTACCGTTTACAAGTCACATCTATAAGCCGGGCAGTTATTGGTGCTTCAATCATTGCAAATATAATAATCATTAGAAGATGCTGAGAGCCTGAGAAAAAGTCTTCAGAGCATAAACAAGAAGGTATTCTTTCCTACGTATGAATATGATCTAATAAGAGATCAGTAAACTGTCTTAATATAATACACTTTACCGATGAGGGTGTCTCTAAGTCTTTCGAGCTTCGCCACCATGCGCTCGGCTTGGTCAGCTCGTTGGTCGGTTTCTTTGACTTGTTGATCCAGATACCTTGACTGTTCCTCCAGGGACATTTCCCTCTCGCTAGCTTCCTCGTCCCTTGTTTCAAGATCTTTGAGGTCCGTGTTCACCTGCTTAGCCTCTCCCTCCAGTCGGTCTACCTTGTTCTGGGCATTTGTAAGACGCTCGTAGATACGTTCCAGGTCTCCCTCAAGCACCTTAAGCTTGTTCACCGCGTCGTCGTACTTTTGTGTGTTCTCTGTGACAAGAACCTTTGTGGTGACGCAAACAAAATCAGAGTAATTTTAATGTCCAATGTATTAAACATGTAATTTAGGGAATCTAAACATTTTACAGATTGCTGTACATATAATTTTTATTGGCAGGGAAGTGCTGACGTTTGGTCTACAATCGGTGTAAGCCAGAATATAATGGTGATGATAACTTTCTTTCATTTCTTTTCAGAAGGTACAATTTATACCTCGTACGCCTCATATTGTTGTCAGTATTAACAGCATCTTCTATCTGTTCATGGGCGTGACAACCAGGTAGGGCGGGACAAGGGGACAAAGCTCCCCCCAACTCTAAAATGATGATAAATGGTGCCCTTTTTAAAAATGAAATATCCTGCCAATATTATTTTCGCGAAAGGCTTAAGCATTCCTTCTGTTTGAAATGTGCTATGGCAGAGCTACCTCCCCCCCTTCAACATTAACTTGCCATCACCATTTGTATCCATTAACAAAGCAAAGTCTATTGACTCTATTCCTAGTTCAGTAAAGTCCCGGCTACACGGGCGACATAATATCATAATCATTGAAGCTCGGTGAAATGTTGTCTCACCTTTTCATCCTTAGCCTTCTGCTCAAGCAAAACCCCAGATCTTGATCATTGTCGGTCTCCCTTCCTTCAAGATCTTTACGGGCATTATCGTTGTCCTGGGTACGACCTTCTGCCGAATCAAGCTTCCCCTGTTGCACTTCCAACTTTTCGTTAACTCGATCGATCTCCCGCTGGATTTGAGACACACGGTTCTTCAGGGAGGACACTTCACCCTCGGCTGTCAGTCCTCGAGCATCTGCTTCACGCTTTAGCTGTTCGGATTCCTTCATTCTCGACTCTGCCTCGTCGATGCCATCCCGCATCTCCGCCATGCGCTTCTTAACAGCAGCGATAGCAGCCATAATCGGTTCTATAAAACATGTTTATTTTCGTCTTACTCACGTTAAAACTGGTTGCTGATTCTCCAATAAATACCTTCGTGAGTTTGATCATTTCAAAGGTGAAACACTTCTTAGGAGCGGCAGGACGGAACATATGCAGGGGGCTATAAAGGCTGTAGTTCCTCCAGTGTGTGTATGGGGGGGATTTTATACAAACAAGTGTCAAATTTCGAGTAGAACTTTGAATAAGAACTTCACTTGCAATACCATTACTTCGTATTAGTTGTATTCAATTTTGTTTGTATGGTTATTAAGATTTTTTAATAATTTTCAACGAGGACAGACGATTTTTTTAAATTTAATTCAATTCCTCCTGCATGTCAGTTGGTAAATAAATACTTAATTTCGCTAAAACAAAACAGGGGAACTAATTTTGGACTAATTAATTCTTTTCGTTTGAAACAGCACCGAGTTTGAAGGTTTTTGCTCAGTTTCGTTTTTCGCCAAGCGTAGGAAACTCCGTTATACCAAACACTATAAACCTGATCTCACAGCAGGCTGCATTGTAGTCCTGCACAACGGCACAATATCAGCTCGTTCACCAATACAGGATTGGTTTCAATAATTGTTTTGAGTTCATATGTGCTCAGTAGACAACGGAACTGGAGTCTGGGGGCGAAAAATGTCGCATCTGTCTTTCGTTAAAATATAATCTTTAGATTATCCACGCGTAAATTTAGCCGACAAAAGATTGTTGGAAAATGGAAATTGATACGTAATGTAGATTGCATTATAGATAAAAGGTATCCGATCGATCGGCTGGAAAACTATATCGGACAAAGAGATCAATTTGCAGCAATCTGCATGATCAATTTCTTTTGAAATCATTTGTCTTTACAGTCTGTTAACATGAATACATAGATGTGCTCCCCCCCCCAATTATCGATCCTAGCTACGCCACTGCCTGTGTTGAAAGGAATTTCTACACCGAGATTTCACAGTTTTATTTCTATGGTAACGGTATTATGGGTCACACTGCAAATGAAAAAGACTTTAGGCCCGTTAGGGTGGGAACGAAAGTGAAAACAGATGTTTTTGAAAGTGGAAACTTCACGTTTTATGACCATGGGATACAAAAGCATTTAAGATTGAGGATTTTCAATCTTTATTTTACCATTTTATGATTCTTTCATGCGATATACAACTAAACTAATTGCTATAAGAAGAAACCTGAAGATTGAGGGTAGCTTAATAGCACGGTCCTTGGCTCCCAGCCAATTAAGGTAATCAAATCACATAGCCATAGTTGATAAGGCATGCACGAATTTAATTAATAACTTCAGTTTGGTTCCGCGCATGAATTATGGTATAATGGTTATGGCAACATTCATGGCGGGTTATCTTATAGTTGTGTCTTTTATAAAGCTTATTCAATGTTCTGTCTCTAATTTATGATACCAAAATGAGATATGATAACACAATTCACGAGCGACCAGCCATTTGACTATTATTCCCAATGACTGTCTCTGGTTGCATGCAGATCACCTATTGATTTTGGTTCCGTGTCGTTAGTCATCTAATTCAAAACATTTTCACTATTCAGATAAGTTCGAGAACCCTGGGGCCTGGGTACGCTGATAAATTCCGTGGTAGGATACAAGGTACTGCACGAGGAAAGAGAAAAAACGTTTGCACCTGATGAGAACGCCTTACACTGTTACACATTTCAGCGAGCTTTTCAAAACCATATCGACACCAAACGAAATATAGGATGACCGATGTTTTTGTTTTACATGGAAGTACCGTCAGTAGAAATATTTTTATGATTTATTTCACCAAAGGCTGTTTTGTTGCCAAAATAGGGAACATTATGACACTTGCAATCGTCCAAAGAATGCTAGCAATGCAACTTGATCGGATATTTTACGTATCTTTTATCGCCTGATAGAAACGTCAAACAGCTAAGCACGAAAACATGCAAGAAAATTTCTGTTTTATCGATCGAAAATTAAATTGCAATCATTTCGATAGCTGTGCATCAATTTGGCGCTAAAAACGCTGCACACCAGCTGATAATCGGCGAAATTCTTTCAAAGATACACCAAAGTTTATCAAACAGACTTTTATCAGCGGTGCAGACGAATTCATTAAATGTGAAATTTAATACTCTCAGGATTGTGAGCAACAACAGGGCATTGCCAAGAGTTTTAGCCTTTGTGCTGAGAATACTTTTAAAACACTTTGATATTTTGATAAAATTTGGCACGATGCAAAGATTTTTGGGCAATTTCAATCATCTACCTGTAGTATAGGAAAGTTCGTGTCGGTCAAACCCTGATGATGCACAATTAGGGCAGCGCCTTTTGCCACAGACCTCAATTGCTCTACCAGCCCACGATAAACAAATAGGAAGATAAAATTCTCATGAAATGAGCGAAAAACGAAAGCAATCAGAAGTGATTTGTAATGATGATTTTAAAACTCATAACGGTCGGGTGATTCGATTTTCCTTCGTTAATTTGAAGGCTGTGACGGAATCACTTTGGGCGATGTAGACGGGTCTGCTGTTTAGCGATCGAATTATACTTATCTTGGTTTGTTGCTGTCAGGTTTTTGTTGTTCTAGTTTAGCAAATATGTTTATATTACGAACGATTCATGCTTTATATTATCTAAGCGACAGATGTGTCTGGGCACTCTGATCATTTACATAAACACGTTTAGTTTGCGTGATGGCGTATCGCATAGTTGTACATTCTTTGCAAAGCATTGCCCATCTAGTCACGAAATCAGGAAAATAAAGTGATCGTAAAATTATCGACGATGATACGTTTTGGAAAACCACGTTAACTCAAATTGCATACCGGAGTTTCACGCAAGTGTCTGTCGCTACTTTGTATGTTATGAATACTGATGAATGGTTGAATTGCAATTGTAACAATATCTTTAAATCGATACAAAAACTTAGCGCCTATTTTGAGAAAGGTACGAAGAAAAGGCCAGTTTTTACCAGAATCATGTAACCGTTGTGTAAGTCACAGCGATGTTCATAGGTGCAGCATTGCAATAGCAAGTAAAAATACAATAGACTTTACAATTCCAATGTTTAAGCTAGTAAACAGTTCATACACAATTCATAAAGTCGCAGGCTCAGTTCGTAAAACTCACCTTTTTAATGGATGAAAAACACGAAGTAAGGAAGGAGACAATAAGGTGTTTCCACGACGCACCGTCAAGGATAGAGTAAGGCGTTGGTAGAGAAATGCAATGAGACAAGTGTGTATTTTGATTAAATATCGCTCAAGACTTTTGACAATAGAATTCCATCTCAAATTTCCCTCTCTATCACGGAAGTGTAAGGCGTTCGAGAATTTCCGATCATGTGCATTACTTTATTTGGACTTCGCAAGCGGCAAATATGCAAATGAGTCGCAAAATATGCAAGTGATCACACGCGAGAAGTATTTCCAGATTGCGTGGTAAAGCCCAAATGTGGTGCCGGAATTCGTAATAAATGCGAGGGATCTACTCTCTTTTTCGAATAGTGACTTCATTCAAGGCATATTTCAGTGATTTCACCCGTCACTAAATATTCCAGGGTTTTTCCAAACCAGGTTTCCATTCTAGCAGTTTCAGCGCACTCATACAAAACAAAGACGGGGTTGTGTGACAGTTTGTACAAGGACTGGGCGGGGGTAGACGTTTCGATAGGGATCTAACTGGTGACGTCATGAAGTCAATCTACTGATAGGGCATTATGAAACGGGCGGTACATTGATCTACTTCCACTACAGGGGTGTTAGATCCTAAAAAAAAACTTTCAGGAAAGGCGAGATTACTGCACGGATTGTGCGTGCAAAGGTCGTTGCCTCATTCACCCAATATGCTCAGTTTTTTAGTCGTACGTTTTGCATACGATTCCCGCTGAACAGTGCCAGCCTGCACGAGTGAAGACTTGTATTATGCGCAGCCAAATATCTCCAGGAAATAAACCTCTTCGGAGAGGGTGCTCTATTTAGAATAGTCCGCTATTTCGTTAACAGTATAAGAAAAATCTTTTCGTGTCGCTGAAACGCTGGTGACTCTAATTCTTAAAGCGAAGAAGCTCTTTCAATGCTCTTCCCCCCTGCCCTATAGCGTTTTCCACAGAATGGCAGGGGGGAAAGTGCGCAGCATTTCAGGCAATAGGCATTGGGAGCTTTGGGGTTTTGCGTAACGGTTTTCGATTAAGATGAATACTCTATTGATACAATTACCAACAAAAAATCTTGTGAGATACTGATCCACCCATGCATCTCGCCGCGCATATTGCAAGACTCCTCCCTGTTCCCACCTCAAAATGATAAACAGTATCGATTCTCTGCAATATGCATTCAATCGTGCAATAATTATAATAGAAAATTCTTCTCATTCGTAAATTGGTATACAATAGCTTTGGGAGAGAAAGGTTTTGGGAATTCAGAGTTGTAATTTAAAGGCTGGTTTACACTATCAGAGTTTCTGTCGTCAAAGAATACTTTGATCACAGTATTTGAAAATGTGAAATCTTTCGAAGACGTCGGTCACTTTGAAGTTCTTTGAACACAGACACAGAAACTTTGCAACCAGCAAAGTCGCTCTTAGGTTTGTTTTCAACCGTTCAACCGAATCGTAGCGTAACATAGCATATTTCTTTTTTCCGAAGTATTCGACCAGAACTAAAGCCTGATTCTCATTTGTCACCGATGGTCGGCGGTGTATTGTTTGTGGTCATTCACGAAGAAAATTTATACAAAATAACAAAGTATTTTATTCTCCAGCGATCACCGACAATAGCCATCGCCGACCGTTGGTGACATATGAGAATCGGACTTAATGACTTTAAAAGTTTAAAACAATGAGATACGCTCCGATACGTTTGAAGTGGAAAATGGCCTTCATGCGCCATCAAATATCATTATCGTCTGTTTGAAATTAGCATAACAGCGATAACTCCGGTAACGCAAATGCATGCACACCCTTTTTATCAACTTAGTCTGAGGCTTGATTTTGTAAATTTATATATAACTCATTTGCTACATTTTCAATCTTTGACGCAGATTTTGCTAAGTTTTAAAATATTTAAAAAATAAAACTGATAAAATTGTCATCGTCTTTATAATACAAGCGCAAATTGTTAAATTCACGTGTCGGCACAGTCCTATCTGTGTCCCAACAATTCGTGTACCATTATCACACATTTTACTATAACAAGGGCAGCAGGCTACGTTAGGTTCTTTCGGGGTCGTTTTTTGCACGCTCCTTTGTGCTTCATCTGCAACCGCTGACACTTATTCATCTTCTTGCATTGCTCGACTTGCAGGTGGCAAAGACTGGGATAGGTCACGCCGTCTGACCCGCAAACCTGGAACATCTTTTTAGGAATGATTTTCGCCGGCGCCTTCTTGTTTGGTGTTGGTTTCGTTTTCTTGTTTTTTTTAGAGTTTGGCTTGCTGTTGAGAAATTTCTTGAGCATCTTAATATTGCTATTTTTCTTGTTCGTTTTCTTTTTCGTGTTCGCCTTCTTCGTGTTCGCCTTCTTCGTGTTCGCCTTCTTCGTGTTCGTTTTCTTCGGTTTCTTGGTTCTCTTCTTCTTAGGCAAACGGGGAACTCTTTGATTTCCTTTGCCAGCTTTTTTCAACGAACTAGACTTGGTGGCTTTTTGCTTCGTTTCAGCATATCGTACACCCGCTCTCAGCAGCTGATCGCAAAATTTCACCTCCGGGCATCTTTGTGTCCAGGCTAAAGCGCACCGTTTACCTCGGCCACAGGCTCCACAATACTTCAGCGTTAATTTTTTATATTTACCTCCCTTAGCGGCGCGTTTGAGTCGGCAGTTTTTCCCTTTTAGGTAACAGATATTCTGGTAAGTTCTGTTGTCCGTACCGCAAACTGGCCGCTTGACCTTTGGACAACTCGAATACGGTCGACATTGCGAGGATTTCTGCACGCACGGTCCTCCTGAAAAAAATAAACAGTTAAGCTTGTTTTATAAAAAAACGCGGGAGACTTGCAGAATATGATGATTAGGAGCTCGTGTCAACTGTCAAGTGTTGTTCATGTTGTTGTTTTTTGGCTATTGTTTTGTCCTTGTTCAGCTGTTTTTACTGTCGTTTCTGTTGTGTTGTTGTTGTTGTTTAGTCCTTGTTGCTGTTGTTATTGTCGTTTTTGCTGTTGCTATCGTTTTGTTCTTGTTGCTGTTGTTATTGTCATTTTTGCAGTTGCTATTTTTTTTGCCGTTACTCGGATGAAGTTGTTACAAAATTATACAGAATCATAAAGATTTATACTTTAGACTTACTTCTGCTAATGACTTTCAAAGTAGGTTCCTTTCGTTTTCTTGCCTCACATTTAGCCCTCTTGAAAAGACACAGATTCTTATATGTTTTCCCATCGCTCGCGCACAGCAACGCCCGGCGTTCTGTGCAGTTCAAGTTACACTGACTGACTGGCTTACTGGACTGACAGAAGCCTGTGTTTATAGCGAAAAGACGCTGGCCAATTTTTCGAGCTCTACACCGGGCGACACTCAGATGACATCCAGTGGTGTAATTTCGCCCATCATTTCCACAAACTGGAGTGCTCTTTATCCGGCAGGGTTTGTAACACTCGTCTGTGCGGTTGCTCTGTGTTTTTGCGTCTGTCTTCAAGAATAATGTCGCTGCTGGAATAAAAAGAAGAAGAGTTCAAAGATAAAGACTGACCAGGATTTTACACTCTTAATACATATTCCTCCCTATCACAATGTCACCGGCGTATCACCCACAATCAGTTCCAAAGATTTCATAAAACGTGGATAAAAGGAAAGAAGAACGCATTTCAACAATACTGCCAGAAATGGCATATATTTAAAAATGAGTAAAATGTCCAATTTCGGTTTGCAGAATGTCGAAAAATAGGAGCAAACAACAAAAACAAGTTTTCAATGAACTTGTATATACCACTTGGGGAACAGAACACTATTTAAAAAGTGATTAGCTACTTTTATTCCTGTAGAGAGCTACATATATATATTTCACATGTTACACCATTTCGCACCTTAACTTTTCAGTTTTACTCAAAGACCGTGCATGCACTCTCCAAATATGATGTTACATATCGTTCTTTCCACTGATGCATGATAAAGGTGTAAGGTTTTAAAGGTTCTAAGGGTGTCTTACAGTACATGTACTATCAAAACTTTATATCAAGTTAAAAGAACCCTTAAGCCCTGGTCAAAAGAAAATGAGAGTGGAAGAGAGTTGACTGCAACTCTCGCTAGCGTTTGAGCGCGAACCTTCATACATTTGGCAAACTCTAGTCTCGTGGAAACTCTCGCTTCTCAACTCTTATCAACTCCCATTCTTGTTCGACCTTGGCTTAAAATTGTTCATTTCAAAATTCAACAAACATCTAGTATCATACATGCAACATTGAACAAACAGAATTGGTAACAAATAAATGCATGCGATAACCCACGCTAGATTGGTCATTCCACTGGTGTCCTATAGCTGATAAATGCATTTCTAGTTTATTTCTAGTTATTTTGAATTTCGTATGCGCAAGTTCTCGGTGCAAATGGCCGCTTCTTTTACATGGATCTGATCAGCCCAATCTTGTTTACAAGTCGGGTGATCGAAGAGACTGCAATCCTAGAAACGTCTTTAGTTTTCACCATATTTTGGAATTTCACACGCTAATCATGCTGGAAAACGCGACACGCCGAAACGAATACACATTACATACACGCCATCAGGAAGTACAGGCCCAATATGAGAGTCGACTTAAAGTGACCGGCCGAAGGGGACTATTGAAGTCAACCAGACATCGCTGACAGTATGATTGAAAAAACACATTGACGTCACGTGAAGACGCACATCGAGATAAATGTATGATTACAAACCCTCGATCTGAAGTGCATTCCCTCAACTCCCTGCCAAACTGTATTTTTAGACCTGTGTTTTTGACAACACTATTGTGATTTATGGGTTTCGTCAACACTCGTTTTTCGCGGGTATTTTTAGGTACTTCACTGAAATTGGTTTAGATTTTTTCTCTAGACAGATTAGTGCTGTATATGAACAACAATACCACAAGATTTTAAGTGCTGTTGACGTGGTAAAACGTCAGTGCGCGAAAAAAAAATATGCTAATGCACATATGTCAGACTCTATTATATCAAATTCATATTACTCGCATCGCAGAGCTCTTTTGGCATCTTAGGCCATTTCCCCGCTATTTTTGCTTCCCTTTTACCATTTTTCGTTCATTTTTGAGCTCTTAAGCACAGGAGAAGCTTCAAAATACTACGATAAAAATAATGCATGCTATAATAAGGTTATCTTTTGCAGAAAACAGAATTCAGAATGGGCAGAATTGGGAATGTCACGCACTTTAAGTAGGCAAAGATTTATTACAACATTCTTTTGCACAAAGATTTTCTCTAATTCGTTTCATGGATACACGAGTGGTTTGGATGAGGGTCTAGACATTCAATGACGATGCTCAAAGACTGCAATTCTATATAAAACGAACACAAACAAACATATGTTTATTTTATAGCTATATTCACAATTGATGACTGCACAATTTGAATCATAGGTTTTACACATGCAAAAACATATTTCGAACTGCATCGATTTTATGCAGAAATGCACTTGAAAAAATCGACCGTCTGGTAATGGTATCCCTGTTGAAATTAAGATCAATATAAATCTTTACATTGCCGAAAAAAAAAACTGAAACATGTGAGAAAAACAGAAAAATCCTATTAAGACTATATTTGAATGCGTGGGGAATTACGAAAATCTATTCATAGGACTATATATTTGAATGGTTCTTCATTTTTTATATATTTCAAAATATTGCTGTATTATTTTTTGACGGAAGTACGTGAACAAACATATTTTGCACTTGAATTAGAATCCAGCTAGCGTTCACTGACTGCGTCGAAAGATTTGGAAGCAATGGAGATGATTACTGTCGTGCATTTAGGCGATGTAGTTTTCACCGATAAATTGTAATGTGTATATTCGAGAATGCGAGATTGCATATCTTCGTGTCAATACCAATGTGTTGTAATCTGCGTGTGAACGATTTTCTTTCAACAGGTGAATTACATGTTTACGTAATTTACCATCATTTGACAATAGCACTTGTACTCACGCACTCTCGACATAATTGGCTCGAATGATGGCTGTCGAAAAATGGTGGGAAAAATACCTAAATCATTTTGAAAAATTCCACTGCGTCTTTCAACTCTTCGAGCGCGTGAGATCAAGATTTGGAGCAATTTTTTTTTGTATATTTGAATATTCAAGGCACTTTTGTTGCAGATGTGTGTTGTCAATTAAGAATGATAATTTTTGATGGTTTTATCATTAGTATGTGCGCTACCACCAACGAACATTCACAATGGCTGGTAAAAATAGAGCGTCTTTTTTACCTGTTGAAAGTGCTATTTACATTGCGATATTTCACAGGGTGAAGTGCTCATACACCCAAACATTGCGACATCGGAGTTATTTAGCTTGTATGTCCATTAACAAGCTAGTCCAGATCGAGTCTTAAAAACTTTTGAAGATACACTCACTCATGCATAGTTTACGAACATTTATCGACATAATAGTGTGATTTTATATCATCTCAAATCAAATGCATTATGATTATGTAATACAAGTTAATATACCGAAATTGTACTGATTTTGAATAATTGGTTTATAACTTTTAATGCCCTTATAACAACCTTAATCCCCTATGTGTTAATATCTAGGTTTTTCTCAGGCGCAATATGAGCGTGTGAATAAACGTTCCCCGCTACAAATTCAATTATTTTTATTACTTTTTAATGACTAATACCCTGCAGAAATCCAGACTCACTAATCTTAAAACCGTGTTTTCATGCATCATTCTATTTAAATATTACGTTACGCAGTTTTTCAAAGACTCAATGTTAAATCTTCGACTGCAAAATGTACAAAAAGCATTTTCCGTAACCAATCAAATTTGTCGAGCAGACTTCCTCCATTAATCAAACCTATACGTAATATTCATCACCATGACACTACCGAATTTTCAAAATTGGTGGAGCGCCAAAAATTTCACGAATTTTTCCAGGATGGAACAAATGTAATGAAAAACACCTGAGGGCATGTTCACGGGTGGTTGGCTATTTCGGCGTATCCCGTGTACGAGTCGAAAATCGACGTCTGTTTATAGAACCAATTCCTGTCAGCTCGTATAATTTATGACTTATAAAATTAACGCAAGAAATAAAACTACCAGATGAACGCAGAACCATAACCCTTTCATTCTCCTTTACCGAAGAAAAGGTTCGTTTCTAGTTTGTAACAAGTTTAGCGAGGTAGAAATCGAATATCATTTCTTCATCCGTCTACGTTCCCTATATTTCAGAAAACCAACGCAGATTAGGTTGAATTTGAGGAACAGGAGGAGCCATGCACACAGGTCAAAACCATACATCCGTCTACGTTCCGTACATTTCAGAAAACCAACGCAGATTAGGTTGAAGTTGAAGAACAGGAGGAGCCACACACATGCACACAGGTCAAAACCATAGACACAACGAGCGTAAATTGAAAAGGATAGAGTTTCAAAAATTTGGCAAGAACTCTTCACTCTGAGAGAGCTCAAAATAGGATGGACCAGCCCCAAAACTTAAGAAACAATTCATCATTATTCAAACGCCCCAGCATGATGAGAGACTCTCGATTCGAGAAGGACTTATGCAGTTATATATAGAACTGGTTGAACTTGGAAGACTTTAACTTGGGACACTCGAATTCGAGATATGATTGGACTTAAGACTTGAAGAGTGACTATATATGCCTTTTACCACAGTACAAGACGAAACCTTTGCACACATGAAGAGACTAACTAAATGAGCACACGAGCATATACTTTCAATCATTCAAGTAACCGGAATACAATCCCAATTATCAACCTCTCACAGAATATCCTGCATAGCCACTCTCGCGTGCCAACAGATGGCCGTTTTATCGAGCTGGTAATTTGCACGCAATAAATTAAAGTTCGTCGTGCAAAAACACGGATTCGTTATAGCGGAAACGGAGTTGCGTAGATCTAGTGGGACGCGGAATCTTTTCGCTGTTCACGAGCGGTGGAGGACAGAAAAAAAAAACTTGAGAATGCAAAACTCTGCCAACCCACAGTCAGGCACGCTTCATGAAACTGGTCATCCCCGGTTAAGTCCAAGGAATTGATATTAAAAGCGTCTGTCATGCATTTTGACAAGAGAGAATAAATGCTCGAACACGCCCTGTTAAACTACCCTGTTAGGAGCCCAATGACTTTCAGTAGATTGCTGCTTTCAGAGAAACCACGCCTATGCTCATCGTATTCTATAATAAATCGTGAAATTCATCCCGAGCAAAAAATGCATCTTTCGCACTTTAATCCCTTTTGCACATGATGTTGTTTTCTTTGGAGAATCACTGTCAATTGCACCACGCTACATGTGTTACGATGCTTGAGTTCACAGCCTCCTTGATTGTGGTCCCGCCTTCCAACTGGGAACGCAAGAGACAGAACAGCTGGGTGGAAAAAACTCAGAAGTTGCCTTTGATGATTGTTTGAAGAAAACCCGTGAACCAGATCCCGTATAGTAAATGAATCAAGATAAAAAATCAAAATACGCCAGGGTTT